GGCAACAACCAAGTAGGTCGCATTTTTGAGAGGCAAACGCAGATACATGACCCCAAATGTGCCTTAACATACCTGTTGAGGAAATATTTGACCCCTTTGACCCGGTTTGCCTGCAACCTTGGGTGCTGTGCTCTCAGTGTTTTGTCTGACTGATAGAGGTGTTATTGTGCTTTGCCTGTTCTATCTTGTTATGCACAATGTTGATTATTCTCTCAGAACCAGCTAAATACATGGGTCTGGTGTAGAGATGTTCAGAATTAGTTTGGCATCTGTTGTGTCAGCTCGTAGCACCCGACATGTCTTCTGAATTCCCCGCCGAAGCTCCAAATAAACCGTCAGTGTTTGCCATCAAAGTTCCTGCTCTCCTCGTGTCTCTCTGAGTCCTGTTTCAGAAGGTTCCATCACAATACCTATCTTTAATCAATCAGTAAACTAAATGTTTACAGCAAAATGTGCCTCGAAATATCTTTCATCGATCAGTAAACTAACACATTATTACAACAGGACAAACCACAATAAGTGTCCTGGACTTGAGATCCTAACAAGCTGCAGCAGCTCTGACGGCTCACAATGATTCTCTCTCTTGACGCCAAATCAGCTCCGCCAAAAACACTTGGCTTCACTGGCTGTAGAAGCAGGATGCCAATACTAAATAGAAGAGTCCATTGTGTGTGTTGCTTGGTGGCAAAAAGAAAAACTTCAGTCTGGCTCTACGTTAGACAAGTGACCCCGGTCGTGACCAGGAAGAGTTGCTGCCACCTGAATCTCATGTTTAGACTTGTTTAGACTAATTCAAGCTGGCTGACATTTGGAATAAATTCAATATAAACACTCGTGACAAATTAGAATGTTACTGTAATTTCTTTCTTATTTTCTATATACCGGTACCTTCACTCAGTTCATAATTGCTACATGAGGTAAACCGGAAAATAGTACAATTTAAGCATTGGAGGATGCAATGTGCACACGCAAAATAGTCACATTGCTCAAACATGTCAGGCTTCAACTTAATGCTGCTTCATACAAACAAGAGACATCTGTCAGAACAGAAACATCTTATTGAAGGGTTTAAGGAGAGTGTGTTGTTTGTGAGTCAACCCTAACACAACAAAAGAAGGCCCCGCTAAACCGTAACCTGAACATTAGGTAGGACAAGAGAAAAACACAAAAAAGAAACAGAAAGTCAACTATAAAGAAGAACATTGGAAACAGAAAGAACGACGTTGACAAAATCTGTTTTTTTTGTCATCGGGGGGAAATCCCACACTTTTTCCCCGAAATTGTAAAGCCCTAGTTCAAAGGTGGTCCTTACATCTTCTATGCCAGTTTCTTTAGACATTTAAGAATTATATTATATATCAATGAAACTTTTCATTTGTCGAGGAAAGAATGTGTGATTTCCACCTATAAAAGTCTTGCTTTAACAACAGATACTTCTTTGTCTATGTAAACCCATAGGTACAGAAAATGATATGAGTGAGGATAATATCTACAGAGCCACCTCACAACGGACGACTGAATAAGGTGAGCTCTAAAACCACCCCATGTCCGAGCGTCTTTTCACAAGAACCTCTGTGTACCTGGTGAACCATGAAAGAACCTCTGTGCAGAACAAGTGAGGTCTACAGCCTAATCTGCTACGTTTAGCAGCGACACCAATTTTACAAGTATAACCCAGCTGTAAAAGTAATAACTGGAGAAACTGGAACACAGAGAGCTTTGACATGCTCTGTGGGCATGCTGGTATTATTTAAGAGGAGGAAATGGTTTGCAATTGTAATTCAATCAAGGCAGACTTTAAAACTTTAAACGCCTGGCAATCCCATAGAGAAAACCTCCAAATAGTTTTGACCCTGTGCTAGGTTTTATTACGGTGACGCATCAGAAAGCTGGCAAAAGCTTGGAAGTGAAACGACACCTCTGGCACGAGATCTTAGCATTATTGGTTTAAAAACACTATTTCAAGTTTCTCCTGAGGCTGGAGTCAGATTGAGATACCCAGTAAGCATTACAAAAGTGCTCCAGCAGTTTAGCATAGCACTCTCAGGTCGGACTTCCTTGTATCCAACACTTCCCTTCCCTTTTTATACCTCAGAAAGGCTTTCGATACATCCTTCCTGCCTGGAGAATATCAATGTCTTTTTACAGGAGGGTTCTACTTTCACACACAATCATATTACGGCCCGTCCACACACAGGCATGAAAAGAATCGTTCAAAGCTTCGCCCATTCACTTGAATGGGGTGACGTACTGTAGAAGATTTTTAATCTTCGCCGAACTGCATTGTGGGGAGCGGAGCATGGCTTTGCAAGCATCGTGAGCATCAAAAGTTGAGCAATGTTCAACTTTTGATGCTCCCGATGCTTGCGAAGCTGGCATCAGCCAATCAAATCCCGTTTATGCAAATCCCGCCAGTGCAAGCGCTAGCCAATCAAACCGCGTGTACTGTATGCAGATACCGCTGCGGTCTTTTCCATATGTCATAAAATGGAGGATAAATTAATCATCGCTGTAGGAAATGTCCCGGTCCTTTACGACTGCTCTCTGTTCACCTATCGGGACCTAAACCGGAGGAACCAGGCATGGAGGGAGGTGGCAGAGACAGTTGGTGAAACTGGTAGGTTTTCACCTGTTTGGGGAGTTTATATCCAGTTTACTTCGTTTTAACATTGAATGGACAGGATTTGTATACCGGGGGCGGGTGGGAGATTCCTGGGAGATTCCTGATTGGTTGTTGGTCGCCTTGGGCGCGTGAAATCGCCAAGCTTCAGACACGCCCAGCATCAAGATTTTTCAAGATTTTTTTCATGCCTGTGTGTGGACGGGCCGTAAGAGTTTCCCTTTAACCTCAATTCATCTTAAATCATACTTGGAAAACAGTTCCATAACATGTGATCATAATGCATTCACGTTGCCTACACATCTCTTGAAAACAGTAAAACATGTTGAAACACCTGCACTTTTGAAAGAACATCCATAACATCCATAACATTCATCTGTTTGCAACTTATATATATCAATATTCCAATTACTTGTATATAGACGATTCTGCACTATTTATATTTTATTTTATTTACTATTGTACTTGTCATAACTACACTGTAGCTATGTACACATGACAATAAAAGCCTTGAATCTTGACCAATAGGTGCAGCGGACTCACCATAGTGGGTCCAGTCATGAGCAGAGAGCAGCCGTGACAGAGCTCTCCGAACTTCTCCCAGTAGTGTTTGCGACAGTACAGCTTTCCCTCCTTCTCATAGTACCAGTTGGTCAGGAGATCACGGCACACAGAACACCTGAGAGGACACAAACAGTCTCGGTCACGCACGCACGTTACAAAAAATACACCAACAGAAGAGTGAAGAAATAATGGATGAGAGGTTGGGATTCTTTCCATCTGTGAAGCAATCACCTCCAAGGGGATATGGCAGACACTCAAAAGCACAATGAATTATTACGAAAGGAAATACTTCAGATCCTCGTGAAGCATCAATTCAATGTTGTGTAATAAAGTGTTGTGTCACCACTCTCTTAATAAATGATACATTCCTCTATAGCTTTATAAGAAGGGGTTCCTATTCTACTTATGGCTGCACCTCACCCTCAAGAATATATGATCGCCAAAGACTCATCTTGTGCACGTCATTAAATATTCTTTAACATGATGTGTCTGAGCACTTTGAGAACAAATGATGTAGGAACTGAGGAAACAGGAGAAAAGAGAAACAGAAAAATGCAATCATTTGAACCATCAGCCAAACTATGTGACCAATCCAAACCCATTCCTCAAATAAGAAGTACACTGCATTCAAATACCATTGATTGGTGCTGAATGGTAAACGAAAGACCACAGAAAAACCATAAATCAGCCTGCTGGAAACAATACTCAACTCTGAGGTTTGGAGACAGGAACATTAGCTGGAGGCATGTTCCAGCCGAATTTATTTTCTCAGAGTTTAACAAGGTGCACGGGCGGCACAGCAAATATGTTGTTCCCAAGATCTGCTGGGGCTTGCACGTATTTGTGCTTTGCGTTTTGATTTTAGAAAAAGTGACAGCTCCAAAAGTTGTTCCATCTTGGAGAAAGGATTATCTTGCAAGCACTGGCAGATGGTCAAGGCAGGGAACGGTTGGTTACCAATAAGGCTGCTATAATACTTTCCAGCTCTTTAAAAGGATCCAGTTGTTTGGGGGGGGGGAAACTGCACGACTACTTTGAAAAACAACTAGAATCTTTAAAAACAAGTTCAAAAATCTCTACAGGGCAGTTTTTGCTTGCAGTTACTTAACAACCTTCTTATTCTGCATTTTTTGTATCTAAGTCAGAGTAAATAACAACAAAGCTGTCTGTTAGCAAAGGTGCAAACTATATAACTAACATCATGGGTTCAGTCAGGAACGTTGATCAAGTGAGGTAAGTTCATCTGTCTGCCACTCAGGCACTCTCTCTTATCAACTGAAGGGGGAAGTCTACCAAAGGAGAAATTCTAACATAAAAAGTCAGTATTAAGACTTTCTGACTCTGTTTCATGGAATAATAAATGATCACCGATCCAAGCTGTCACCCGACCAGACGCTTTGAATGAAGGGGACATGTTTAACTCTCAGTGCGTTCAGAGTGAGGAACGCTGAAGTCGCCTGCAGACTGGATCGCACCTGAAGGTTTTGAACGATCCTCGAACAAGCTGCACTGGTTATGCAAAATGGTGGCAGCGGTTTCGACTGCCAAAATACGATCAAGCATGAACTACTCTGAGATCAGGTTGCAGACATTGACTGCAATCCTGCTGCAGCATCCAGACTCTGCAAGGGCTTCAACCGTTTCTCAACCTTCTTGGTTTCAACGTCAACGCTGCTGAAAGTGAGAAGTGATAAAGTGACACATGAATCACGATGGATGACGTGTGTCACTGCCGTCTGGGTTTTGTCTTGAAACTAAAGTTAAAGAAATGGGAGTGGAAAACTTGTCCCAGTAATTCCCCCTGAACTCCTGATTCAAAAACAGGTGTTGCAATACACGGCCATTTTTAGGATCAACAATATTAACAAACTTCCAACTGACACTGCACTTCCTGATTAACAACTATATTTGATTTCAGGCTTTGGTAAGATGGTAAGGACGGGGACTTCTGCTGTTCTTTTGCAATATCGCTCTCCGAGTGCTCATGTGCTTGTGAATCGGATGTTCTAATTCAGAAATATCACTTTTGCATTTTTAATCTTTGAGTTCTGTGCTGGCAGCAGCTCCCAGCAGAGCCTCGTGCATCACGCTGCAGATAGAGTTGATCCAGGCCCATTGACTTTGGCAAAGATTGCAGATATTTCAAAGAGTTCTGGCATAACTTAAAAAGGGACCTTGTTATAGAGCAGGGGTGTCAAACTCAATTTCATCGTGGGCCACATTAGCATTATGGTTGCACTCAAAGGGCCGGTTGTAACTAAGTAAATATACATTTATAAATACATCATATATATGAAATAATGTATTATATTACATTATTGCCTCTGCATTGGATTATTATCGGATAGGGTAATAACTTCATAATTAACTACGTCTGAAAGCAGAAGTCTAGGGCAAATAATTGCAAGTCTCTTCAGTGTGCATGTCACAAAATGAGATGCATTGTGGGACATATAGTTTATGGGCAACATGCTACTGTAAAATAAGATGGAGCTTTATTAATCCCTGTGGGGAAATTCAGTGGTTTAACAGCAACAGGGTAAGATTGAAAAACAGGAAGCACAGATTCACACAGATTAATACAATCAAGGATAAATCAAAGATAAAAATGTAAAATGATAAATAACTATAAAATAAGAAATGAATTAAAATGAACATATATAGAAATACTGTAAAGTGGCATGTAACCGTATAATAAACGTATTATATTCTTTGCAAGCTCTTGCGGGCCACATAAAAGGAAGTCGCGGGCCGGATTTGGCCCCCGGGCTTGAAGTTCTGACACCCCTGTTACTAGAGGTGATGATCATTAGTCCTGGTCTGTGGTTGGTGGACAGAATGTGGACAGAAAGCGAGAGAGAGGGAAATACATGTCTTTTTACATCAAGTTGCATCAATGTTGATGTCTGTATACAAAATAATGTGTGAAAAACGGGTCTGTGCTTCTAGGACAAAAGAAACAAAGATTAAGAGTGACTACAAGGTCAGTGTAATAATAACTCCAGCCTGATTCATCAACTCTGACGAGATGAGTGGAAGCAGAGCTGACATTTTGCTGAGGTCAAATTTGCATGAGTAACCGGCCACTTATCGAAATTGTGTGAGTCAGTGTTTGAAGAATGCCAAACACTGTCGATGCAGAATTACATTCCTGTCAATAAAACTATTGAAATCAGGCTCTAGTCGGTTTAGTGATATATAAAGCTTTGTTTTGCAGTGTCGACATTTCAGAAAATACGTGTTGGCAGCTATTAACAAATGGTGTTGTAATTATTCAGTGTGTCTTCCTGATTTTACTGGCAGGTTTATTAAGTACATATATTATACAGTTATTCAACATGCAAATCCAAGGGATCAAAAACAGATTTCATTATTTTATGCATTTTTGCTCGTAAATCATTCAAGTTTCTTTTACTTGGAAAAATAACGCAGTATTGGTCTAGCTAAGGAATACACAGCATACTGTTAGGATCAGTATTGCCTGGTGATAACAGTGCACTGTAGTGGTCCAATCAGATGAAAGACACACACACAGACACAGATACACACACAACGAAGAGAAAGAGTTGTGAAAAGTGCAGTATTCAAATTGGTATGCAAGACATTCAGTATGTGTCCAGGTGTGGCTGTAAAAACAATAATGTCTACCTTGTCCGCCTAGCTCGGAACAAAAAGCATTCCTCGACAAAAACCCGCTGATAAACTATAATTATTTCCCTTTATATCCCCACAATACACCAAGATAAAGTGATGTAAGGCAGCTTATAAAAACACCTGACTTCCCTGTAAACGGACTGGCGGTGAATGGGGGGGGGGCGTGCACGCTCAGGTGGTTCTTCAATGAACAATGCACTGCCTGCACTAACACTACAGAGTAAACATTACCCATTTCCTTAAATTCCTGCTGGAGTGTAATCTTTTGTGGGAGCACGAAATGGAGATACTAAGAGAGGGACCGAACGCTTTGCCCTTGAAGAGCTGAAGAGCTGAAGAGGGAGTGTTTCACTTTAGACGGGACCTTATCTTTGGGCGTGGGACTCTTGTGCTCCAAAAAAAACCTCTTTCCAAGGAGTGGAGAGTGACAAATGTTACAGCATTCATAGCACAAGCAGTGTGTTGCTAATGTTATTAGACATGTCATGGTAACTTCGGAATTCATCAACAAAGATCTGTTGATATTTGTGAATACAAATTCTGTCATCCAGCTGAAAAACAGACTGTAAACCAACAAAGTCTTTGTCAAAAGGGTACAAATGTAATGTTTCTCAAAATCTGTGTTTTTTTAATTTATTTTCACACTTTTCTTTTTGTTGATTTGCTATTTTATTTTGCACATTACAAATAAAATATTGCATATATTTTGTGTGAAACTCTTCTTTACATGGATTTTTTGCTTTGAGTAATGAAATCTGAAGGGATCAAGGCGACTAAATAAATATATGCTCATCAACTTGTATGAAAAACATAAAAGCACAATACTCTACTTTTAGGGCTACGGGAATAGATTTGAGGGGGGGGGGAACACAACAAAGGACTCAGCAGTCGATGTCTGAGACAGCGGACTCACATCTCTGAATCGCTGTCTAGGAATGCAGAGCGCAGCCGTGCAGTTACCTATAGGCCTCAATAAAACGCCAGGTTTAGTGGAACAAACGTGACGTCAGCTTGTAAGAATCTTACACAAGGTGGAGGTCCACGGAGGGGAGAGGGGCAGCATGTGGACAATAGACAATAGGAACACCACAGGAGGGATCACACTGACTTTGTTTTCACTTTGCTTTAACATTTGCTTAACAAGTTCAGAGATTAAGGTTCATAATAATCAGTTTGCACAGACTACTTTAAACCAGATGTGCATTTCTGTAGTTGGCGTTAAACTGTGGAATTCTTTACAAATGATTTAAGGGGCTGTATAAACATATTCAGATTCAAGAAAATGTATAAAGAAAGAATAATTTCACAGTATGAAGTTGTTTGTGTTTTTGGTTTCATGTTACTTTAAGTATTTGTAAGCAGCTTTGACTGACAGACCATTTATTTTAGAATAAGGGTCAAATAAGTCTTCTGCCTGCACCTTTCCATCATGGGATACAAACAAACTGCTTAAAGTGTCCATGTCTTGTTTTATAATAATTGCCATGAGTGGAATACAACTATAATAATAATAATAATAATAATAATAATAACAATTGTGAGTGGGGTTTGAATACAGCAGTGTGGACAAAGCTCCGAGGGAGAAGCTGCAGCTCATTTAGAGGACTGAAAATGTCTGGCTTCCTACGCGTACGCAACAATATCTAATATCACGTTTTTAAAGATTGTATCTGAAAACGCGTCAGACAAAGATGCTGCAATAGGAAAGGATGCCAACAAATGTGGGGGAGCTCAGAAGAACAAAGGAAGAGATGGAGAGGATCAATGCTCAGTAACGCAGCTGTGTTAGGAGAAGCTGCAGGTTGTGTGAGGTCAATGTGCTGCTGGAGTGGATACCGGCTCAAAAACGTGAAGAAAGTTATTTCAGATGTGAGGAACCGACAACACAGTCAGCAGCATTACATTGAATCTATTCTTAGGTCTTTTTGGACCTGCCAGCAGTCCTCCAGAGCCAGATTCCACTCGTAAAAAACTGAGGATTTTTGGATATATTGTCAGTATGTGACTTGTGCTGTGCTGCAATCTGCAACATTCACAAACCCACCGATTCGTCGTCTGCTTTAAAATGATATTAATTAGACAAAGTGACTATTGAGCTATTGTCAATAACCTTTTCAAAAGCAAAACAAATGTTTGATCTGAAGTGTCATCAGTTTTGCACAATCTTATCTCACATTATAACAATCGAGTGTTACTGTTTATCCAAGGGGAAAACCCCAATGAATTACGCATCCTGCTGGCATGTGCAGAATGTGCCTGCAACGAGCCACAGGTTCACTGCCCCACACACAGATACCTCACTGTGGGGCAGTGACCTGTGAAACCAGAAAGCTACGATGTGGCAATCATTAAACCTCCGAGCAGAGGCAGAGAGAGTGGGCAAAGTCCTCCAGGATAGTAGGACCATTCCTCTGACCAAGCTGCATCGTCCCCATGCAGAGGTTTACCAGCTGTGACAGCAGCAATGAACATCCTACATGGCTCACTTTGTGCACAGAGGCACACAAAAACAATGGTGAATTGTTAGAGAGAAAAACAGATCTAGGAGGCCCATGTTGAGGCTACTAGTCAGAAGCTTCTGGGATTATCCACAAGGCCATTTGTAAGGTAACCCAAACAGAGCAGCCAGCATGTTGACCAACAGAAAGACAACAGTTGTTTCTGTGTCAATGCAAACTGTTCCCACTCCTCTTTCAGAGAAAACAAAGCATTCATTTATCAGAGCAACTCAACTATGCTAATTTCAGAACTGAGTACTTTCAGGCATGTTTCAAATCATAATTGGGAACACTTACTGAAAGCAGGCGTTGTGCCAGGTGTCCAGGAGGACTTTCATTTGAAACGAGTCTTGGATTTCTCCTCCACATCCCGCACAGTTACAGCTCTTAGTACCTGTAAGAAATGGAAAGGTATTCAATGGAGCAGCATTGTATGCTTCAAATTCTGGTAGTAGGTATAACTGTATGTGGAACAGGCAGTGGTGTAAAGTAGCTAAAGTACATTTACAATTTTGAGATACTTGTACTTTATTTGAGTATTTCAATGTTTTGCTACTTCTATCCAACTGCCATTCAGTGATAAAAAAAAAGTGTACTTTTACTCCATTACATTTATTGAATACCTTTAGTTACCTTGCAGATTTGGATTAATGTTGTGTAATATTTAATCAACACTTAAATAAGACTTTAGTTACACCTGGAGACAATTCACAAGCTACCCTGCAGCATACAAAGGAATTAAAATGAGCCACACCTTTACCAGCTTTAATAAGCACATTAATGCAATAATTATAATATGTTTTATGCTCTGTATGTAATTCATTATATGTAATGTCTCGTCTTTTATCTATGCAATGTATTGTCTTTTATCTTCCTGGTCGAATGCACTTATTGTAAGTGGCTTTGGATAAAAGCGTCAGCTAAATGCAATGTAATGTAATCTGGACCCTGAGTCTGTAATAAAGTTTTGATTGATTGATTGATTCAATCAAAACATATAATTGATTATTCTTTTGGTACTTTAACTATATTTTGATGCCAATACTTTTGTACTTTTCCATGAGTAACATTTTGAATGCTGGACTTTTATTTTTAACAGAGTATTCCTACACTCTGTAATTCTACTTGTATTGAAATAAAATATCTGAGCACTTCTCCCACCTTTGAAAACAGGTATGCTCGATGTAACATTGAAATGCACAAAATGAAATATAGTATCAACTCGCCGTGTAACACGATAGCCTATACAAAGAAAATAATGTAACCTCTCGTCTTTATAGGTTTTAAGTTACAGCTTGAGATATACCTCACCTTCTGGTTGCTCCATCTACTTTCTCAGAGTGTCGTCGTTATTGAAATCCTTCACAAGCTGTTCATACTGAGAGCTGCGATGCGCCGCTTCAATGTTTGATTCCTCCACGTCGTTCACCCAGCAGGACTCGCGACTGTGGATACCTCAGGAGAAAAACAAATCCCTTTAATTGTTCACAGGAAGAAAAACAAATCAAAAAACTAAGCACACTCCTCCTGTACGAGGCTGCTTTCTTGTCGCTGGTAGGATAACTGACGTAATGCAGTCTTCACATTCCTGTACGGAGAGCGGAAGGGCTCAAAGCAGCACCTGGAAGCAGGAGAAGAAAACTGAGGTTTGGGACAAAAAAACAAACTGAAAGCGAACAACAGTGGCGCCATCTACAGACACAACGACCACACTGCAGCATTGTTCTACCAGACACTGATTTCTACATAACATAACATAACGGAAACTCACATGTAATGCCGGGCAAGGGAGACAAGACAGCTTGTCCTAAAATTATATTATTTTCCTTTTACAGAAAAGAAAAATTGTATTATTGATTTTGTTTGAAATGTTTATGAATGTTATTGATGTCGTAATTGTACAAAGCATTGGCAATACTGTGTGTCATTATGGCCGTGAAAATAAAGCTATTTGAATTGAATTGACAGTGTTCAAGATGTAAACTTTTTCAGTCTTGTATAAAGGCATAGCATACAAAAAAATAAACATAAAATACCATCATTATTTTTTGTTTTAATAACAGAATTTACGTGTCAATTAGCTAGTTACAATTTGTGTTTAGTCACTTACTTAACCATTAATCTAAATGCATTTGGGATAATAATTATTATTATTATTTATGCAGCCAAACGTTGTTTTTATTTCTTTTTGTTGTTGTTTGTAATTGTTTTAGTAACATAATTTGTTAAAGTAACCCCCC